CATTCTCACACAGTACGCTACCAGCACACACACACACAGCAGTGTATGTATGTGTGTTTGTGTGTGTATATATATATATATATATTTGTAGTGGGGGCAATATGGCCGAACAGAGAAATCTTAGCATAATATAATCATAACATCCATAAGTTAGCACCAGTCGGTTGTGGTGTGCCGGAACCGACAAAGCAGTAGGCCTGTAATAAAAGTGGGCAAAAGAAAATTACCAGGAAACATAATTTGTGAACCAACTTCGTTTATTGAGATAAGTCACAAAAAGCTTGTCTTATTTCTTTAACGGGATTAGGTATGTAGAAGTGTGTAGGCGGAGTATTTCCAGCGTCCCATAGCCTTAATAATATGAGCGGGTATGTGGTTAGCGGATGCTGAAGATGATATATTGAGGGATTCAAACAAAGCCAACATGTGATTCAAACTACTGGTTGGGAGTGTGTTATTTTCAGTCGTGAGGAAATCGTCCAGATAGTGGATAACCGATGGGCACTTGCACACATTTAGTAACAACCAACATAAAGCTTCTGCAAACGTGTCAAAAATACGTGGGCTGCTTTTGGAGCCAAAAGTTAGTCGGGTGAAGAAATAATACATCCCCTGCCATTTAATGCAGTGTAGATGCCATAGGGAAGGATGCATGGGTAGTAATTTAAAAGCGTTTACCACGTCGGTTTTACATAGCCATGCTCCTGTGCCAGCTTGAAGAATGGCCCCTATGGCATGGTCAATAGTGGCGTGGTGTAGTGAAAATTCTTCTTCGGAAGGTATTAGAGAGTTAAGGCTGTGGACAGTGGAGGAATGTGGTGCAGATAAATCAATTATCAGTCTGGGTTTAAGTGAGGTCTTCCCTGTGACCACCCCTATGGGATTGGTTCTCCAAGATGTGAAGGGTGGGGAAAAGAATGGCCCCAACAAAAACCCTTGTTTCACCTCGGTCGAGATAAGAGTGTTTACCAATAGTGATGTCCCGAACGGTTCACCGAACGGTTCGCCGAAAGGTTCGCGAACGGTTCGCCACGAACGGTTCGCCACGGACTCATCATTGAGTAAACTTTGACCCTGTACCTCACAGTCAGCAGACACATTCCAGCCAATCAGCAGCAGACCCTCCCTCCCAGACCTTCCCACCTCCTGGACAGCATCCATTTTGAAGCTGCATTCTTAGTGAGCTGTCCAGGAGGTGGGAGGGTCTGGGAGGGAGGGTCTGCTGCTGATTGGATGGAATGTGTCTGCTGACTGTGAGGTACAGGGTCAAAGTTTACTCAATGATGAGTCCGTGGCGAACCGTTCATGGCGAACAGTTCGCGACCCGTTCGGCGAACCGTTCAGGACATCATTATTTACCAACTGTGGATCGTCTAACGTGGATTGTAGGTTGTCTCATTCCAATATATTGACAGTAATTAATACTTCTGCCAAGGTTGGTTACTGTTACATGTGAGGTTTAAGAAAAAACCCTACAAATAGGAGTATATTGAAACATGTAGTCATTATGAACTCCAGAGGTAACGCTGGAGTCAGGATCTAGGCAGATAATGGAACAAGTGTGTTTGAAACTTAGCTGAAGAGAATGTGACATGGGTTTGATGGGAAGGTAACCTTGAGGTGGGGGGGAGGTTGGTAAGGATGGGAAATAATTAGTTGGTTTGGGTCTGGGAGTGGATGACACTGGAGTAAGGAGGGAAGAAAGGTGTCTCTGGGAAGGTGGCGATATGGTAATTGGATGTTTTTGCAAACCTTTTATATTTTAAACCCTATCAGGACAAGGGGTTAGGCAAATCCTATGAAAACATGGAAGTCGTATGAAGGAATAAAAGGGGCATATTCAGGGCAAGTTTTGAATCTATGTGTTGGTCAGTCAGGGTGAAATAGCTAAAGAGTTTATATCTGTTGGGTTAAAGGCATTGGCGGATCCGGGCGGGGGGGAGGGGCAACGGGGCCCCCCCGGGAAAATAGTGAGTCCGACGCTTTCTCTGCCGGCCCATGCAGGGCTGGTACTATCCAAGCACCAGCCCTGCTGATTGCCATCACGGACCGGAGGGGAGATCAGTGATCTCCCTCCCCGGGCAACATGCACATTGCTGGGCGGCCGGCAGGGGAGGGAGAGAGAGAACCCGGGGGAGCTCTTACCTGCAGCACCGCCTGGTTCTCCTCTCGCGAGCAGGGAGTGTTACCATGGCAACGCTCCGTTCTCGCAAGAGTGAACTCTGGCCTGAGCTGCAGGTTAGAGTTCACTCCCCCACTAGAACCACCAGGGACTGGAAGAAAGCAATGTCTCCCCCTCCCTTAGCACAGGTAAGAAGGGAAGGGGACATTAGCTATATTTAATTATTTAATAATTAAAAAATATATATATTTATATCTTTAATCTGCCCCCCTATCCCATCACACACTGCATCACACACAGCCCCCCTATCCCCTCACACAAACTATAACCCCCTACACACTGCACCACACACAAATATACAGCCCCCCTTACACACAAAGCCCCCCCTTACACACACAGCACCCCTTACATACACAGCCCCCTTAAACACACTACCTCCTTACACACACACAGCCCCCTTACACACACTGCCCCCTCATAAACACACATAGCCCCCAAAACACACACTGCCCCCTTATACACACAGCCCCAATACACACACAGCCCCTCATACACACAAACACACTGCACCCTTTGCACACAAACACACTGCACCCAATATTCAAATTGCTACCCCATACATACACTGCAACCCTCTCACACACACACTACCCCTCCATACACATACTGCGACCCTCACACACACTGCACCACTCACACACACACACTACAACCCCTTTCCCGGCTGACCCTGGGTAAGTTATCAAACGTTTTTTTAAACGGTTTGACTACTTACTCTGAGAGGGCACCACAGCAAATCCTGGCACCAAAACCACTACAGAGAGCTGTAGTGGTTAATCTGCCTGGATTGTTTCTTAAAATGATCTGCCAGTGCCCCTCCCAAGATTAGCTTCTGGATCTGCCACTGGTTAAAGGGCATCTCCAACCAAAAAACTGTTTCATAAAACAATGGTAAACCTCCTTTACTGTCATAACTGTCCCTTGACATGGGGGGCGAGGTCAGGGAGGACCTACTGAGAGGGAGGACAGGTGTGGCACAAGTGGGGGCAGGAAATGTCACCATGGGCTGTCTCTCGTCAGACTCCAGTTTTGCACAGAACTTTCTTTTGACATTACTGGAGGTGGTGTTAAGGAGTTAATCTCTGTATGTGCAGTGTTTCAAAGCAAATGCTGCCCATACAAACAAAGCAAAATGCTGCACATACAAACTCCAGGCACCAAGACCATTTAAATCACTGGTTATCATGTTGCTTGTAGTAACCTTTTAAGAGGTAAAGTTAAACCTTATAGAGTTATGGAATTTTTGGAAGAGCTCCTGTTATGCTTGTTAATTTCCAAAACAATTAGTCAACATTAAGTGCACATTTATTCCAGCACATTAGTCTGAGCATGTGGTTTGCTAGGAACTTATGTTACTTCTCCAGATCTAAGACCTGCAGTACAGGGCTAGCTCATTCACTGAGTGCTTCATATGATTGTTCTCAGCCAATGAGCTAAACCCTGCACTGCCAGGCTTAGCTCAGGCCGAGAACTTCTGAGTCTCTTGGAAGCTGCATTGGAAAGGTGGCCCGTGAACCCCAGGTAAGAAGTTAAACCATTCTAAAACGGTTTGACTACTTACAATGGGTAAATGCCAGGACACAGCGTGTTGTAGTGGTTATGGTACTTAATGTGTTCTTTTTAAAGGTGCATTTTTTTTAGTTCTTTACTGCTTATTTACCAACAGAAAAAAGAGATGCGTAGAACAGCAAAACAGTAAAAGAGCAATTTGATGCAAAGATTGCTGCTCAGGGATCCCTAAAAATACCTATTTATTTATACATAATATTCTTTAGGGGTCAAAAGTCTATTATATTGTTTACCTTATCTTGCAATATTTTAGACAAGGGCTGCAATATTTACATGGATGCTCAACCTTTTTGTTATAAACATAACACATACAAGGTATTTATAGAGAGCGTAATGGAATTTCCAGAAATGCGGATTCCCAAATACCCGCTCAGAATATAAATATAATTTCTATGTGTTGGCATTATGCTTATCTACAGAAAGTAAACTTACACAAAACAACTGTAACATTTGACAAACCAGAAAATTTGAATGAAAATTAGCACTGGGCTTAATTCTTAAATTCCTAATACCTATGGTCAAAAATGTAAATGGCTTTTTTCCAACTCTGTAAATTACTGCTGGAAGCTGTCACTATTAACAAAAGCCAGTAGCGGATGCCTATTGGTTTTCAACATTGTATCTATATTTTTTACCAGATGACCACTAATGACGTGTCCTTACAATGATACTGACCATTCTCAGAATAGCCACTTGCTAGTAAATCAAAGAAACACATGCTGTGTACACAGGGCCGGTGGAAGGATTTTTGTCTACACAGGCGAAGGCGCATTTTTCCACCCCAAAACTGCCCATCTATTTAACCCCCTTGTGCCCATCTTATTCATCCCTTTGTCTGTTCATTGCATCTTTCCTCCCTTCTGTTTCACTTTTTCCTTTTAGAGTATTGTATCCCGTTAGTCATTCTTTTCATGCTTTTGAGTCTTTAGCCCACCTTTGTGGCCTCTTAACCCTATTTATGTATTTTACCACACTCTGATTTACACTGGCTCACACAAACACAGAGTCTGAGGGGCAGTTACCCTGTCTCCTTGCCAGTACTCTCATGGATGTCAAGTTTAACTGTCTAGAATGGAAAGCAGGTTATACCTAGTATTTGGCAACTGCTAATAATCTCTATGGGAGATATTATATTATATTGGGCAGCCACTAATTACCAGTAATTTAGCATTATATTTTGTAGCATGAAAATTGCTGGTTATGGATAACAGTAGCTGTTGTCATTTAGTGATTACTACTGACATGCTGCTAAATAAGTGTGCCAAACATAGAAATGAGCCCTAGATTCCACTGTATTTAGTGTGATATCCATCACAGTGCTAAATAAGCTGCACTGATTGAAAAATCCCATTTTGGGATTCTATTACAAGAGATAAACTAAGTAGCAGTTCTTCCATTTAACAGCTAATAGAAGATTGCTATTCAATAACCAGAGATGTGTTTATCTCCTATACCAGAATCGAGCTGTGAATTATGGAACTTTAAGTTTACAACAGAGTTTTTTTGTCAGAAGAGTGCATACAAGCTGTGCTAGTTCTAAATGCTGAATAGAAACTCTCCGCCTACTGTCCTTAGCTATGAGTTGCATCATGAGAACAGACACTAGTTCTCTTTTGTTGCCACTTGAACATTTTGTATGACTGACCAAGCACATTCTTTTATTCTGCTTGCAATCAATGCAAACGGGCAGATGGCTCATGCTTCAACTATATTCTTGTAGTGGATACATTTTCAATGTCTGGAAAAGCAAATCAAAAGTATCCTGTAAACTAGAACTGGAAACCAGGAACTGCTCTGTGTGCAAAGTGCTAAATATTGAGAAACATTCTATTTGTGCCCATGGGGATTGGACTTATTTAGCACTTCGCTTAAAGGAACACTATACGAATGGGCTCCATGGCATAGCTATCTGGGGTATCAATGTTCAAATAGGGCAAGTACCGAATGACCCGGCTTTCGTGTCCTTGCAGGGGAAAATCAAGCGTTTCAACATGAGGCCATAGTCTAAAGCAGGGGTTCTCAACGTTAGTCCTCAGGACCCCCTACCAGTCCAGGGTTTAGGGATTACCTGGATGTGTCTATGGTGTTTAGAAAAAGAAAAAAAAACACCTTAGAGTCTAAGGTGTTTTTTTCCCTTTTTCTAAACACCTGAGACACACCCTGGTAATCCCCAAATCCTGGACTGGTAGGGGGTCCTGAGGACTGGGTTGAGAACCCCTGGTCTAAAGGCAGTAGGCGGGCAACCAGGCTCCTCCAATGCACAGTGGCGAGATTGGTCTTGTCACAGCTCTCTTATTATACAAACAGTTTTTTCTGTGCCCCATGTTCTAATATTATTAACTGTTGGCAAAATAAATGAATTATGAAATTGGCAAAATAAAAGAGATGTGCATTGATGGTTTGTACACATCTCATGCACACATACTTATCTACATTTTGGATCTGGAGAAGGTAAATTAAAGAAAGGCGGATACTAAAATAATTTGACAGT